TTTCCTTGTGAGTTAGTACGCAAAGGAAAGAAAGAACTTAGCGAGAGTTTTTGAAGAATGGAAAAAATAAATAGAAAAAAGTGTCTGTATTTTTTGATTTCAGGGGACGTAATGTTATCATTTCGTAATATGTGTTTGATAATCTGTACAGGGCTTTGAAAGTTATTTCGTTTCGACTTTCATTTTTATTTTCGATGGTAGTTTGTTCATTTGGAAAGAAAACCAAAAAGCGAAAATCTGTCGAAGCGAAAGTAGTGCTCCTTATTACTCTAGGGCAATAATAGTCACTTTATTGACCTATATTGGGTTATACAACAACAATTGTAATTCTCATCCAATTTTACAAAAACTAACTCATTTTCTGCTTTTAAACTTTCTTTGAAACTGAACAATGTCACTTTTCACGAAACAAAAACAATGGCACTGCTTTTTCATTCTTAAAACGCTTTTTAAGGTTGTCGCACTTCTTCAAAACAAAAAAATTATTTAATTCCTACTACTACCTATTTTACGTACTCTCTCTTTCCTCTCACTTTAACACTTTGCCAACAGAAAAGCCCAAAAAAATTTCCTTTGATAAAAGCACAGCTTTTGTGAAAATTGCATATCCATTCCGAAGTGGCAATGTGGGTTTGTAACTTCACTCTTAATGTTACTGCACACCGTTAATGTATTCCTTCTATGAAAAAACCTTCCCCCTGTCCCCCACCCTATGCACATCCTACTGTCACTTTTATAGAAAAGATTTCTCTACAATTACAATTAATTCTTTTCCATCTACTCAAAGAACATTTTGAATTCAAACTCTAATGAAAAGAAGAAAAAAAAAATTTACCAACATACAATTTATCAATGAAACAAAAAATTTATTTTTTCTTCAAATCCCTTGTGAATAAACAAGAGAAAATAATGTTGCGACATAAAATTTCTTTATAGATTTGAATAATGAAATGACTTTTGAAAATGAAATATGTATTCACTTTAATACACCTGGGCATAATTAAAAAGTGAAGAGAAAATAATATTCAGTGCCAGTGAGTAAGGGAATAAAAAAAAAAAAATGATGTACAACGAGAGAAAAAATATTTAAAAAAAAAATAGAAATTTTTTGCTTTTCTAAAAACAGGGTTGCCACAAAAAATTAATTTTGTATTTCCCTGACTGAAAAGTCAGGGAAATACAAAAGTCCTGACCTGTGGTAATTCTGAAAAAGAATAAAATATCTTGGTCACTTGACAAAAAATTTTGGAAAAATAATAAAAAAAAAAAAATTGTTTCCTTTTTCCAGAGAAAGAGAAAAGAGAGCGAAACTTAAATAAATTTTGAACCGATAAATGTTGAGTTTGCTCGAATAACAAGTTTATAACACACGTTTTCTAGGGAGGATGCAAAAATACATACTTCTAGTCGCATACCTAAAAGCTTTACACACGCCATTACACAAAACTGTGATGCTCTTGGTCGACGCCCTCGTTCGTATTACTATTGCACTGTCTGCAGAATGCATTCGCTTTGTTGTCAAGCAATTGTAAATGTACACCCTCCCTCCATGTTCTCATGCATTTCAACACTTGTCCTACATTTTTCCTTCCACCTGGAATTTCCTAATTCACAGTTCACTGGATACTCAAATAAAATATTTCTTCAATTGTCGTGCTTCAGATATGTATGTATATATACATATATATATTTATATTTAAACGCGAACAATTTAAAACGATCGCAATGCAAATACTATGTAAAGGAGCTTACAGAAGAATTCCAATTTTATTTTCTACCAGATTTTTTTTTTTTTTTTTTGGTAAAAATAATAAACATTTGAAGATGTATATGAAATTTATTAAAATTTATAACTCTATTCATAAATTTTGTCAAGTCGAGAGAAAATGAAATAAAAAAATTATAAAAATGAAAATAAAATTAAAAAAAGCAAATGGAATAATAAACATTTTTCATTTCATTTATTTCAATATTTGGAAAAAATAAAAATTAAAGACGAAAAACAAAAGAAAGAAAGAATAACAAATAACAATGAAATTCAAATAAAAATTTTAAATAATCAGTAATAAAAATTACAAACTACAAAAAACAAAGGAATTTAAAAAAAAAAACATGAAAAATAAATAATCAAAAAAGTAATAAAATCTAAAATTAATCAAAAAACATATTCACAATGAATAATAAAGCAAATAAAATTTTCAAACTCAGGAAAAAAGCATAAAAGTTATTTAAAATGAAAACAACAAAAGATAAAAGAATTAATTTAAAATAATAAAAAATATACCTACACAATAAAAAATAATGTCGATAAATTTTAACAGAAATAAAAATCAAAAAGAAGAAAAACCATAAAAATTGTAAAAATAAAAAAAAAATTAAAATTAAAATTTAATTTAAAATAAATATTTAATATTTTTTTTTCATTGGAATTAAGATGTTCAAAAATTTCAAATTCAAACCTTTTCAAATTGAACAACTCATAAGAATATTACTATAAAACATAAAGAAATGGATTCAATTTCTTCATGTTTTATAATAATTAAAGATGGCCGACTGACAAAATAATTATTTTATTATTATAGGAGTATTGTTACTGTAATTTCTTCAAAATTATTTCTATCATTTTAATTCAATTAACATTCTCTAGAGTTTTTAACTAAAATTCCACTTTAAATCAATGACATCAATTATTATTCAATTAAACTTTTTCAAAAAAATTAATTCTACAGAATTGTTAGTTAAAAGTACGAAAAATAATAATTTAATTCTACGAGAAATCAATTATTTATATACAAAAATAAATAATATTGAATGTTTCTTAAAATTAAATTTTTACGATGAATTGTATTAACAACTTTTGAAAATATTTAATTTCTTTTAAAGAATTTAATTAAAATTTTAATGAAATTTTTTTTTGAGAATTTTATAACAATTTTTGAAAATAATTGAAAACTTTTTGAAGAATTTTATTAAATTTTTTAAAAATAATTGGATTCCTGAGAAGAATTTAAATAATAATTTTTTAAAACAATTGAATTCATGAGAAGAATTTTATTAAAATTTTTGAAAATAATTGACTTCTTGAGAAGAATTTTAAAAAAATTTTTGACAATAATTTAATTCTTGAGAAGAATTTCCCTATCTATTTAAAAAGATAATTTAATTCTTGACGAGAATTTTAAAACAATTTTGAAAATAATTTAATTTCTCCAAAGTATTTTATTACATTTCAAAAAAATTGAATTCTTCTGATGAATCTTGACATTTATCAAAATAATTGAATTTTGGAAAAGAATTTTATTAAAATTCCTTAGAATAATTGATTTTATGGGAAGAATTTTTGCGATTTTGTTGTTTATCAAGCTAATTGAATTTTTTTACAAAATTACTTGAAATTTTTTGAAAATTATTGATTTTCTGCGACGAATTTCATTGTTTTATTGAATAATTGAATGTTTCCTAAAATTGAATTTTTTCCTCAAGTTTTAATAAAATTTTTAATAATAATTGCATTTTTCAAGGAATTTATTTAAAATTGTATTAAAAATATTTGAAATTCTGCAAAAAAATAATTGAATTCGTAAATAAAATTTTATTATTTATGAAAATAATTGAATCTTTTCGAAGAATTGTATAAAAAAGTTTTTTCTATAATTAAATCTGTTGATAAATTTTATAAAATTAGTAAATATTGAAAATTATTGAATTGTAAAAAACTTTTGAAAGTAATTGAATTTTTGCAAAGATTTTTATAAGTTTTTGCAGAATAATTGAATTTTTGGCGAAAAATTTTGCTATTTGTAAAGATAATTTAATTCTTGACGAGATATTCGATAAAATTTTTAAAATAATTGAATTTCTTTGTTGAATTTTATTACTTTTGAAAATAATTGAATTCTTGTGATGAATATTGTTATTTATGAAAATAATTGAATTTTGGTAAGAATTTGATTAAAATTCCTAAAAATAATTGAATTTTTTTTATGAATTTTATTCCTTTTGAAAATAATTGAATTCTTGGGATGAATATTGTATGTTAATTAACATTTAATAATTACGTAATAATTAATAATATAAATAATATAGTTAATAATACCTAAGATTATTTAAATTATTTATTACAATAATAATTTATACTCGCATAATTCTGTTTACTAATAAATATTGTTACTAATAATTATTTTTACCAATAAGTGACTAACAATTTTTTATAATAATATACGAAACAATAATAAAAATAATAAAATAATAAAATAATAACAAAAATAATATATAATATAAAAGAATACAAATTTTGTAATGAAAAAATGATAAATTATAAAGTTCTTTTTAAACACTTTATAAATTAAAATAAATTATAAAGGAATTTTTCTCCCAGAAATTCAAACAAAATGAGTTTAAACAATTTAGTTAACTTTTAAAGCCATTTGAACTATTTTGACGTCACAGTTTGTGTAAAGCATATGTTCTAAAAATGTGACGTCATAATGGTTCAAATACATTTAAGCAAATCTAATTTTTCAGAGACAAAATATTTTCGTAAAAGAAAAAGAATGTATTACAGCTGATAATTTTATATTTTTCTCTCTTTTAACACCAAACGCAACATTATCTTGTGCGCAAACAAAAGTTGTATGTGTATAATAACTGTTAAATAATTCCAAAGTAAACATTATTGTACCTATATATAAAGCATTTGATGATAAGTGATTAATGACATTAGTATTATTTGACCGAACCGATAAATTCGATTTTATATTTTTAAACAAAGAATTTAATTTACCAATCTAAAAAAAAGGATAAAAAAATTCTTTTCCTTGTTTCACTAAAATTTTGTTTACAAGTTTATTAATACACATTTCTAATCGTAAAAAATAACAAAGCGAACATTATATTAACATTAACGAATTTTTGATAAAGAACAGTATAAATATTGTCGTATCAGTGCACATTACGATTTCAAATAATGCTCTTTTTACTGATAACAAAAAAATAAAAAGAAACTATTTTCCTATTTTACGAGAAACTCGAATCAAAAATCTGACTTTTAGTCGTATTCGAAAAAATGAAAAACTATAAACGTTTTTTTGTTTTATTGTTAACAAGTGTCAGCGTCTTGAGTTCAGCAATCAACGAAGTGCCTTCGAAATTGGAACTGCAAAACGTCAATATAGTGAGAAAATAAAGAAAAAAAAATTATAAATATTAAGAAAATTATTAATTAAATTTAATTGAGTTATTAATTTAATTTTTTTTAAGGTTTTCAGGCATGGAGATCGTACGCCAGAGAAATTTCGTGGCGAAACGTATCCTACGGATCCTAATATAAACAATACATTTTATCCAATGGGATATGGAGGCTTAACTAATGTAATTATAACTGAATTTTATTTATTTTTTATTTTTAATTATTAATTATTAATTATTAATTATTAATTATTAATTGTTTATTATTTATTTTTTTATTCTACTTATTAATAATTGTTATTCATTTCTATTACTCATTTGTTATTTATTTTTTAACAACTTATTTATTTTCATACTACTTATTATTTGTTAATTATTTTTCAGAATTTTTTATTATTCATTTTTTTATTATTAATTTGCTAAAAAAAAAATTTTTATTATTCATTTAATTATAAAAAAGTTTTTGAGGAAGAAAACAGTGGTTTAATTTCTCCACTTGAGAACGCCAAGGTCGCCACCAGGTGGCAGGAGAAATTCCAAGAAAGGACTCAACTGCCATCTAACGGTGACCTCGGCGCTCGCAGGTGGAGAATAACACCTCCATATTGAATCTCAAGATGTTCGTCAACGTTCGTATTTCTATATTTATTTATAATCAGAAAATAATAATAATAATAATAATAATAATAAAAATAATATTAAATAATTAATAATAAATACATTATAGCGAATAATAAATAATCAGAAAATATTTATAGTCAGTGTTTGACAATTAATTTTAATCTGTAATGATAAAGAGTGGAAAATTCCGGGCATATTCATTGGGAAAATTTCTACGCGAAAAATATGGGAAATTTCTTGGTAGCACTTATTTGCCAGAGGACATTATGGCAAGAAGTACAAATTTTGACAGGACAAAATTATCCCTATTGCTTGTTCTTGCTGCACTTTATCCTCCGGATTCAATTCAAAAATGGCATCCAACACTCGATTGGCAGCCAGTTGCGATAAACTATGAAAATTGGAATCAAGATTTTTTACTAATGCCTACAGGTTGTCGGAGGTAAATGTCGTCAATTTTTCTTCTTCTACAAAATTATTTGAAACTAAAATTAATAAATAAAATTATTACGAATAGAAAAAAAATAAAAACCAGTAGAAAAATAATAAAAAGTATTTAATTTTATTATTCTTTACTTTTTTCATTCAATTATTTTTTTTATTAATTTCACTTCATATATGTACAAAAAATAAATAGTTATGTACCAAAAAAAAACTATTTTTGTATTTATATAACACGATTAAATTAGTCTAAGAAGTTAAAACTCTAAAAGCATTAAAGAAACTTCCTCTCTTCTCACTCGGAACATCAAATAATAATACTATTCCAGAATTCCGACAATATTTTCTTTTAAATCAAACGAAGCTTAATTAATTCACAAAGAGAGAGAGAGAGAGAGAGAGAAGGCATAACTTCTTCATTTATTAACCAAAGTTATTTTCTTCAACTAAATATCTCTCTTTGGAGGTAAATCTTTTCTCAAAATATACAGAAAACTTCTTATCAAAAGAATAAAAGAAAAAACTAATTCATTAATTTTCATCAAAGCCTAACTTCTATTTACATAAGCTTAAATTTATTTTTCGAAACATCCCTCTCCCTTAACAAAAATATTTTATCCAATTTTTATACATTTTTTTTCAATTTTTAACATTTTTCTCTTTGAAAAAAAATTCTCTTCTCCTGCATGTTTTTAACAATAGTTTGTTTTAAAAATTTATTTTAAAAATTTATTTTAAAAATGAATTCTTTCTATCCTTTGTATATTTTAAACAAAAGTAAATTTTAACCTCTCAATGAAAAAAAAAAAAGAATTAAAAATTTAGATTCAAGGCAATGGAGACAGAAATTCGAAAACTACCGGAAGTGATAAAAAAATCATTAGAATTTACACAAGTGTGGAAAAGATTGTCAATTTTATCGGGAAAAAATATTACCCACTGTAAATCAGCGTATAATCTATATAATACATTTATTGCTGAGAAATCAATGAATCTATCAATTCCACAATGGGCCGAGGATTTATTAGCTAATGGAGAATTAGATGCATCAGTTGCATTTCATATTCAAATGAAAAACTATAACGAAACATTGCGAAAATTTAATGGAGGTAAGAATTAGTATTTTTATTGTGCACATTATTTTTATTATTATTTATTCAAGAGAATTAATTATTTATTATTTTTTTCTATTTTTATCTATTATTTACATAAAAAAAATTCTCACAGGAAGTCAATCATTTAATTAATTTTAATTCAATTTTATTTAATTTTAATTCAATTTTAAGTAAATTCTTCGAAAGAATTCAATTTATTAAATCACAATTTTCATAAGATTTAAAAAAAAAAAATTCGAATTCAATTATTTTTAAAATTTTAATAGAATTCATTGCAAGAGTTCAATTATTTTCATGAATACTAAAATTCTTCTCAGGATATCAATTATTTAAAAAAAAATGTAATAAAAATTCGTTGCAAGACTTAAATTATTTTCTTAAAAAATTAAATATCTACCAGGATTTCAATTATTTTTTAAAACAATTTTAAGTAAATTCTTCGAAAAACAAAATTAATTTTAAAAATTTTATTAAAATTCTTCGAAAAAAATAAATGAACAATTATCAATTATTTTTAATAATTTTTTCAAAAGTTCCTAAAGAATTTTCAAATCCATTTCTTTACAAATCAATTTTACGAAATTTTAATTATTCAAAAATTCTTCAATTAAATATTTAGAAAATAAAAACTTGAAATAATTTCTCAAAAAATTCAATTGAACTTTTTCAAAATACAATTATTTCTAAAAATTCATGCTATAATACTCATAGTATTCAATTATTATTTAAAATTTTAACTGAAATTCATTTGTAAAAGAATTTTTATTAGAAAATTCTACAAGAATTAAATTATTTTAAAAAAAACTGAAAAAAATTATTAAATAAATGAATTCTCATAAAGAATTTCAGCAAAAAATTTTTGAATAATTGAATTTTTTCGAGGAATTCGGTTAAAATTGTATTAAAAGTATTTTGAAATTCTATGATGAGTTTTATTATTCATGAAAATAATTGAATCTCTATAAAAAATTTTATTATTTATATAAAAATAATTGAATCATTGCGAAGAAATTTATAAAAAAAACTTGTAAATAATTGAATTCCTGTGAAATTTTTATTATTTATGAAAATAATTAAATGCTCGCGTAGAATTTTATCAAAAGTAATTTAAAAAAATGTATTCTATTTGAAAAATTTTATGAGAATTCCATATAAAATAATTGAAATCTTGACAAAAATTTTATTAATATGTTATAAAAATAATTGAATTCTTTTAAAAATTTTTATAAAAATTGTAATGAAAACAATTGAATTCTTGAGAAGAATATTATTAAAATTTTTAAAAATAATTCAATTCCTTTGTCAAATTTTATTGAAATTCTATTGAAAAATAATTGAATTCTTATAAAGAATTGTATGAAAACTATTGAAAATAATTGAATTTTTGCAAATTTTTAATACGAATCTATTTAAAATTGTATGATCAAAAAATTAAACCACTAAATTCACTTTAAAAATGTTATTACTTATTTATGAAAAGATTTTAATTTCTGTGAGCAATTTTATTGAAATTTTTAAAATTAATTCTTGCAAAAAATTTTATTAAAAATTTAAAATTATAAAATTAATTGGATTTCTGCAAAAAATTTTATTGTTTATGAAAATAATTGAATTCTCGACAATTTTTGGGACCAATTTTTTAAAAATTATATTAAAAATAAAAAAATAATTGAATTCCTGTGAAATTTTTTTTATTTATGAAAATAATTAAATCTTTGAGTAGAAATGTATCAAAATTATAAATAAAAAATTTTAATTTGAAAATATAAAAATATTTCCAAATTAATTTTTTTTTAATAGGAAGGCTTCTACGAAAAATGACGAACGATATGATTTCTCGAATTAATGGCTCTTTAAAAAATGGAAAAAAATTAAATATCTACAGTGCTCACGATATTAATGTAATTGCACATCTTCTTACTCTTGGCGTTGGAAAAGCGCATCAACCATTTTTCACGAGCGCAGTGATATTGGAATTGTATCGTGATTACGAGCAAAATTACTATGTACAGGTATAATTAAAAAAAATAATTACGTAATAATTAGTTAACGCCGCATTAAACAGCAATAAAGAAGGGCGAAAAATTTAATTAAACAATTCATTATAAAAGTTTTCTTTTGCAAAAATTTTTAATCTCGATTTAAATTTAATTTTCAGCTTCTATATTACAAGGGCGACTCGCAAAAAACAGAAAAATTAAAAATACCAAATTGTACGTTGAATTTTGATGGAATGTGTGAATTTAATGAATATCTTGATTTAATAAATACTGTAACGCCGAATAGTGAGGAAATACTGTGTACGTGACATTGGTTTTCAAATGTAACTAATTAAATAATTATTTTATTTAAATAATTTTTTTCTAATTAAATACTTATTAATTTATTTAAATATCTATTTTGTTAACTAAATTCTTATTGAAATAAGTATTTTACTAACTAAATATTTATTTAAATAACTATTCTTTTAATAAACTACTTAAGTTTATTTAAATATTATATAAATAAAAATAAATAAATATAAATAAATAAGTTCGTAATAAATACGAATAATAAAAATGACAATTAGACCCAAACGAATCGATTTAATTTATTTAAATACGTAAATAATAATTTACTTAATTAAAAAATAATTTAAAAACCATTGGGAATTTTCCCTTCTCAGAAAAATAATGTTTAACTTATTTCAATAAGTAATTATTTATTAATTAGAATCAAGAAGTAATTGATTCGAATGATTTATTTATTTAAAAAGTATTAAAAAACCATTAAGAATTTTTGCCTTCGACAAAAATAAAGTTTAATTTATGTAAATAAATTAAGAATACCTATAAATAATGATTTATTAATTAGAATTAAAAAGTGATTAATTAACGAATAATTTATTTATTTAAAAAGAATAATAAAACCATTCATAATTTTTGCTCCAAAAAAAAAAAATAAAATTTAATATATTCACATACCTGAATAATTATTTAATAATTAGATACAAAAAGTAATTAATTAACAAATAATTAATAAATTTAAAATATAATTTAATAACTGCCGAGAATGCTTTCGACTAAAAAAATTAAATTAATAAATTCTTTACTAAAAATCAATAAATTTACAAATTCATAAATTACCCTATAAAAATTATCTCACAAAAAACATTTTTTCCTATAAAATATTTCATGACTCCAGAAATAAATTATAATCAAAAAATATTCTAATAAATTATTATTTTTCAAAAATATAATAAGTCGTGTATTGAATTGAAAATTTTCGAACAAAATTCCCACTGATTTGAATAAAATAAAAAAAGAAAAAAAGCTTGGAAAAAAATATATTATAAATGTGACGTTTCTCGCATTTGAAAACGAACAAAATTTGTTTATCAATGAAAAGTCTCGGGGGGATGAAAAAAAAAATACTATCGGAAACGGGAGGAATATTGATGCTTGCCATTTTGAAAGTTATCGGTTCTATCTTACATGCAAATCACTTGCTACTACTGCGCTATGCGAAGAATTTATTGGCGAAATTCGTGAACTTTTTGCCCTTGACGAGACGCATTTGTGGTGAATTTTTGACTTTTAAACTTTATCATCGAACCATAAGATGAATATTAAAAATGCGCATTTTCAAAAAAGTGAAAAAAATTGTCTACATAGTTCAAATTTAAAAATCACACTACAATTTTTATTGTCAGTTAAAATAATTCCTATTACAAATTTTTTCTAGTAAAAATAATTTCTAATAAAAAAATATTAACTATTAAAAATAATTTCTACTAATAATAAATTTAATAGTAAAAATTATTTCTACTAAAAATATTTACTAGTAAAAATAATTTCTACTACAAATATTTACTAGTAAAAATAAATTCTACTACAAATATTAACTAGTCAAAATAATTTCTACTAATAATATTTAGTGGTAAAACTAATTTCTACTACAAATATTTAGTAGTAAAACTAATTTCTACTTCACATATTTAATAGTAAAACTAATTTCTACTACAAATATTTACTAGTAAAAATAATTTCTACTGAAATTATTTTTAATAGTAAATATTTGTAGTAGGAATTATTTTTACTATAAATATTTACTAGTCAAAATAATTTCTACTAATAATATTTAATAGTCAAAATTATTTCTACTAATAATATTTAATAGTCAAAATTATTTCTACTAATAATATTTAATAGTCGAAATTATTTCTACTAATAATATTTAATAGTCAAAATTATTTCTATTAAAAATATTTACTGGTAAAAATTGTTTCTACTTAAAATATTTACTAGTAAAATAATTTTTACTAAAATAATTTTTGCTAGTAAATATTTCAAGTAAAAATTATTTTTACTAAAAATATTCACTAGTAAAAATAATTTCTACTAAAATTATTTAATAGTAAAAATAATTTCGACTACAAATATTTACTAGTAAAAATAAATTCTACTACAAATATTTACTAGTCAAAATAATTTCTACTAAAAATATTTAGTAGGAAAACTAATTTCTACTACAAATATTTACTAGTAAATATTTGTAGTAGGAATTATTTTTACTATAAATATTTACAAGACAAAATAATTTCTTCTAAAAATATTTAGTAGTAAAAATAATTTCTAATACAAATATTTACTGGTAAAAATGATTTCTACTGAAATTATTTTTACTAAAATTATTTTAAAGAAATTATTTTTACTAAAATTATTTTAAAGAAAAAATAATTTCTACTACAAATATTTAATACAATTATTTTTACTAGTAAATATTTGTAGTAGAAATTATTTTCACTAAAATTATTTAGTAATAAAAATAATTTCTAATACAAATTTTTACTAAAATTATTTAATAGAAGAAATAATTTCCACTACAAATATTTACTACAATTATTTTTACTAGTAAATATTTGTAATAGAAATTCTTTTTACTATAATGATTTAATAGTAAAAATAATTTCTACTACAAATATTTACTAGTAAAAATAATTTCAAGTAAAAAAGTTATTAGTATTAATAATTATTAGTAAAAAAAATACTATTAATAAAAATAATTATTGGAAAAAAATCATCAGCATAAATTAGTCGTAATTAGTAATAATAATTATTCTTGACAATAATAAAGTTTACTAACAAATAAATATTACTAATAATTAGTTTTACCAATTATTACTTTCACTATTAATTAGTATTACTAATAATTGAAATTATTAACAATTGTTTTTACTAATAATTATTTTTAATAATAATTAAGATTACTAATAATTATGCTTACTAAAATTATTTTTGCTAATAACAATTATTAGTGACAATAAATATTAGTAAAAATAATTTTTAGTAAACATATTTTTAAGTAAAAAAAAAATGATTAGCATAAATAATTATTGGTAACAATAATTAGTAGTAAACATAGTTATTAGTAAAATTAATTATTAGTGTAAATAATTATTATTTTCAATATTTATTCAAAATTAAATACTATTAATATCTAATTACTAATTAATTTTATTAATTTAATTCAATATTAAATATAATTAAATGTAATTACACAATTAATTTAAATATTCATTAATTTTTCGTTTAATTAATTGACATATTAATTAATTATTAGCGTAATTAATTTAAATCTCCAATTTTTTTAAATTTGGCAAATTTCCAACAATTTTTAATCAATTTCCTTCGAAACTAACAAATTAAATTCACTAGCTCTCGATATATCTCAATAAATAACAAAAAGAAAACGGGAGAAAAAATATTTCTTTCCACTTATCAATGTCAAAAATAGTTAATGCAACTCCACATTTTTTTCCCCAGCTTTTTTTCTTTTAATATAATAAAATACGTATTAGAGGACTTGAATATAAAGTTATAAATCAAGAAATTCGTATTCACCAAAGTTCTTTTTCCCGCGCGAAAAAAGAAGAAAAAAAAATCTCCCTCTCACCCCCTATAACACAAAATGAAAAGGGAAGAAAAATTGGAAGTGATTTAAATTAGTGGTAAAAAAGCAACAAGAGAGAGAGAGAGAAAGAGGAAAAAAAAAGAGGGATGAAGTTTCTTGCACTGAAATGCAAAGGAATTTGTTTACCAATGACGGGAAACAAGAAATGTGAATGGGAACTAAAGGAATGGATGCTTCCCATTCTGAAAGTTATCGATTCTAACTTACATGCAAATCACCTTTTACTTTTGCCTCTACTATGTAGAGAATTTATTGGGAAATTCGTGAAAGTTTTTGCCTCAAACGTGACATTTGTGGTGAGTTTTGTCATTCAAAGTTTATATCGGTTACTCACTGCGAGAGTAAAAGCATCGTTTCAGAGATAAAGTAGGTATACCTACGCAAGAAAATTGATATCGCAAAAAATTTAACCTCAAATTATTCAAATTAGTTTGTTCTATATTTGCCTAATAAAGAAATTTCCGCATAATTTATTATTAATCAGAGTTTCTACTATTTTCGTTCAACAAAATTCCCCGTAATTAATTATTAGTGTAAATTAATTATTATTCTCATTTATTAAAAATTAAACACTATTAATAATTATTTACTAATTAATTTTATTAATTTAATTCAATATTAAATTTTTCTCATCAAATTTAAGGTGGGTACTTTTTCTAAAAAATATTTTCTAATCCTTTTTGTCTAAAAAAAAAAAAACGATTTCCAATTAAATCTGTTTTCTAAAAAAAGTTTTTCTAACCAATTTTGATTTTTAAAAAAAGTTTTTCTAAGAAGTTATAATTTTTAATATTTATTTTCCTAAAATTTGTAAAATTCCATAATTTTGATAAAAGTTAGAAAATTGTTAAAAAAAACTAAGATTGAGAAATAAAAATTATTTAATTTTCTGTTTCTCAATCACAATTTTTTGTTTAAAAAATTATGTTTCTTTTTGAAGAAGAAGAAAAAATTTTATAAAATTACTATTTTTTCTCACAACTTGTATTTTCTTGTAAAAAAAATAATAATTTGCATCATTTTTTATATTAAAATTTCCAAAATCAATTTATTTATAAAACACTTTTTTTTAGAAAATTTTTAAATAACTTGAGGAAAAAAATCCCTATAATTTCTATTTGTTAATTACGATTTTCAAAAAATTTAATAAATTATGCAAAATAAATTTAATCCAGGTGTAATTGAATTGAAATTTAATTCTCGTGTAATTTAAACAACATAATAGATATAAGAAATTGAAATAATTGAAGAAATAATGACTTTAGGCGAGGTTCTTATATATGAGTGCACGTATGTACATGTAGTGCAGTGTTTGGTTAAAATCTCCGCACTGACTAAGCTTCAGTCTATAAACTAACGCTAATACGATTATGCTCCATGGCAACAATCACCGATTCAAGCTTTCAAGATTTAGTAGCATAAGCTAAATGTAAATTATCACATATAATCTAATAAACAATAAAAGGCCCTATAGTACAACCCAGCTCGGATATTATCAATTACTCTCAGTATGAAGCTGTCTTTAATCTTCGTTATAAAGATTTCATTCTATATACCTGCAATATACTCACAGCATCTTTAAAATTTTCCTGTTATTATTTTAATCCATTTTTTTTTATTTTTGGCTAATTCTTCACTCAGTGGTCACTTTTGATTCTCCATTGTTCTTTATTTAATAACTTTCAAAATTATTTTTGAATCTGCTTCAAACTTTTGCACAATTAATCTTCACTTATGATTTTTAGATAAACGAAAAAAATTTCTTTTTTTAAAAAAAAGTTATGATTCTTAAAATAAGTCAAAGAATTAAACATTCAGCATCAAGTAGAAAAATCGATATTTAGTCAGACAAGCGGTAAAATTTGGAAAATATTCCGAAAATACTTTCACACAGGTTAATTTTGTGAGGATTTTAAAATTGTACTGTTTGTCTGGCACAATATTGATTTTACTACTTGATGCTGATAGTTTAATTTTTAAAATCAAATTCTAAAACGATTTTACAAATAAAAAAGTCAAACTTACTTATTTTTCTTTTTTTGAGAGAAATTATTTTTTTCGTTCTTATTAATAAAGTGAGGAAAAAATAATGATACTGGTCTGACCTATGGTCGACTTTACTACTTAAGAAATTTCTATTATTTTCTAATGTCTGACCAAACGTGGAACTTTCTACCAAATTTGCTTACATTTTTTTTAAACTATTAGAGCGAGCAACATCAAGTTTCAAGACAAATTTAATTTATTTTTGGCTCGTCTGACCTATCATCGATTTTTCTGCTTAATTTTCAAAGTTCAATTCTTAAAGAAAATATTAGGATTATTTTGCAAATTAAAAACACCGACTAATTATATTTTCTCGTTTTGGATCAAAATTATATTTTTCTATTCATAAAAATAGGATAAAAAAAATTGCAACGAATTGATATCAAAAATTTTTTTAATTTTCAGTAGCATTTTGATTTTCCCTCAGGTATCATTTTGATACTTTCAAGAAAATTGTGGGAACAAGGAAAATTATTAAGAGTTTTAAAATTATTATATTTTGTAAATTTCTCAACAATTTAGTTCAGGGAACATTTATTTATTATTATTATTATACTTTAAATTATCTTTTAAAAAATTGTACTATTTACAAGTTTTCATGAAAATCCTTTTCAAAAATTTAGTCATTCATTTGTAGTTTTAGTTTTTCAAAACCATTTAAACGATCGATTTAAAGAATTAAAAATTCGGTATCCAGTAGAAAAATTAATCTTTAGTCAGACAAGCGGTAAAATTTCCAAAATTTTCCAAAATTTTCTTTACAGAAATTCAATTCTTTTTATAAATAAATAATAAAATTTTTAAAATGAATTTAATGACTTAATTTTTCCAATAAAATTTTAAATAGATTAAAAAAAATTTGCAAAAATTCAATTATTTTTAATAATTTTGATACCATTTTTTAAAAGAAGTAAATTATTTTTAAAAAATTTAATAATATTCTTCTCAAAAATCCAATTATTTTCATTATAAGTTTTATAAAATTTTTCGAAAGAATTCAATTTTTTTATAACATATTAATAAAATTCTTCGCAAAAATTCAATTATTTTACATACAGTTTTCATAAAAATTTTCAAACAAAATCAATTAGGTATTTTAATAATTTTTGATAAAAATTCTAAGCACTTAATTATTTTCGTAAATAATAAAAATTTCTTAAGAATTCAATTATTTCCAAATTCTTTTTTTATAAATTTCATCGCAATAATTCAATTATTTTAATAAATAATAAAATTTTTTACAGAGATTAAATTATTTTCATAGAATTTCAATTATTTTTAAATTTTTAATACAATTTTAACCGAATTGCTGAGAATTCAATTTTGAGAAACATGTATAATTCAATAATTTTTTCATTTTTGTATTTAAGTAATTGAATCCTTGTAGAATTTTACTACAAATTAAATAATTAAATAATTGAATGTTTCATAAAATTAAATTCTCATAAAGAATTTTGTCAACAAATTTTTAAATAATTAAATTTTTTCGACGAATTTTAATAAAATTTTTAAAAAGAATAACATTTTTCGAAGAATTCGATTAAAATTTCAATTAAAAATAATTGAAATTCTGCGATGAGTTTTATTATTTATAAAAATAATTGAATTCCTGTGAAATTTTTATTATTTATGAAAATAATTAATTGCTTTGCCTAGGATTTTATCAAAAATTATTAAAATAATTGATTTTGTTTGAAAAATTGTATGAGAATTCTATATAAAATAATTGAAGTCATGAATTAAATTCATTAATTCATTCATTTACATGAATATAAATAATTGAATTATTGAGAAGAATATTATTAAAATTTTTAAAAATAATTGTGTTCCTTTGTCAAACTTTATTAAAATTCTATTGAAAAATAAATGAATTTATATAAAGAATTTTATGAAAAATTCAAAACTTTAAAAAATAATTGAATTTATGAAAAGATTTGAATTTCTGTGAACAATTTTATTGTGATTTTTAAAATTTAAATGTTTGCCTTGAATTTTATTAAAATTTTTGAAAATAATTGAATTGTTGAGAACAATTTAATTATTTATAAAGATAATTGAAATTTTGAGGAGAATTTAAAAAAAATTTTAAATATAATTGAATTTTTACGAAGAATTTTATTACTATTAAAAATAACTGAATTGTTTTTAAGAATTTTATGGAGTTTTATAAAAATAATTGATTTCTTGTAAGGGATTTTTTTTAAAAATAATATTCAAAAGAATTTAGTATCTAAATCTGAAGAATTTTGCTATTTATGGAAATAATTGAATTCATGAGAAGAATTTTTTTTTACAGTTTCTAGAAATAATTGAATTCTTTCGACGAATTTTAATAAAATTTTTAAGAATAATTAAATTTTTTGAGGAATTCATTTGAAATTGCATTAAAAATAATTGAAATTCTGCAATGAGTTTTTTTTTATGAAAATATATTTGAATTATTGCGAAGAAATTTAAAAAAAAATTTGTAAATAGTTGAATTTCTGTGAAATTTTGATTATTTATGAATATAATTGAATATTGGCGAAGATTTTTATTATTTTTAAATATAATTGAAATTTTTTCGAGAATTTAAAAAAATTTTTGAACATAATTGAATTTTTGCAAACATTTGTAACTTCTCTAAAGTTCAATTTTTTTCAGTGCTTTTAACAAAAATTCTTCAGGATTTTCAATAATTATTTAAATATATTTTAAAAAATTGAATAAAAACTATTTATGAATCCTGAAAATTTAATTTTTTCCACTACTTTAATAAAAATCCCTGACTTCTCCCCGATATTATTTTATTATTTTTTTAAATTTAAAAAAAAAATTTTTATTCATTCATTTTTATTATTTTATTTTTTTATTTTAATATTTTATTATTTTATTTTATTTTCCTGACCCAATTCTACTTTCCCTAACTTTTCCGTGAATTCCCTGTCACAACTCGAAAATTACCATCTAGAATATTTTCGAAAAATATTATTTCTTTTTAAAAAAAACATTACCACTTCCTAGAGAATCAAACATAATTTAAATTTAATATTCCGCGACAAAAAATCATTCCACCGTGCATATTTACCAATATATAATTTTTTTTTATTAGTTTCAAGACGACTTACCTACTTATCGAGACACTTCTGCTGCAGAACCTGGAAAAAGCAAAAAAATAAAACGCGGTTAGTCTTTCAAGTAAAATTCTAAAGGGGGTAATAGTGAAAGAAAAAGGAAAAAGAAACACAAGATCAGAGTCAAGAGAAAGAAAAAAAAAGAGAAAAAAAAGAAGGGGGTAGTTGAGACAAGGGAAATAAAAAAATTTGAAAAAAAAAGAAGACAAATGTAAAAGAGGAGAAATACGAGAAGTGGGATATACAGTGAGAGATATAAAGAGATAAGAACACTGAGAGATGAAAAGAGTTAGTCCACTGGGAGGGATGGTGCGAGAGAGAGGGTGATAGTTAAAGGGGTGCACAGCACACGGAGAATGAGAGGGATGACTTCAAGAGTTTGTAGACGGTTGAAACTGAGAGGAGAGGAATACTTCCAGAGGATTTTCTCCGTAATCTTAACAAATTAGACCCTCCCCACGGCAGTACCATCCCCGCTGGACCTTAATTAGCAAGCCCACTCCTTGCGTCTCTCGTGAGCTTTAGTCTTTTAATGAATCTCTTTTAGAAAAAAAAAAAAAAATAATAATGAAAAAAAAACTGTCCCCTTTTATTTTGAGCATTCCTTCCCTAAATGGACAAAAATTTTCGCTACATTTATTCTCGAGCTAGACGCACGCTGACATTATTGTGACTCTAATGTCCCCTAATTGTCCGTTATTAAAGAAGAAGAAAAAAAAAATTCCAATTCTTATACTTAACAGTCGTTTAATAAGAAAAACGAATTATTCCAAATTCTTTCAGGACAAAAAATAACTTTTTTAATCCCTCTCTCATTTTTTTACACAATTTAAAATTATAATACAAAAAGTGAAATCAATTTATTACTTTCGTCTGAATATTTTTACTTTAGACGAATAAAACATATTTCAATATTTCAAAAAAAAACAGAAAAATTAAAACAATCTTTAAAAAAAAAAGATTGAGAAACTTCAGGTTTCTGCCAATAAGAAAAAAATTATTATAAAGTTTCTAAATTATTAATCAAAAATTTCAACTAAAATTAATTTTTAAATCAATTTTCATAAGAAAATTCTACGAGAATTAAATTTTTCAAATACAAAAATAAATAATTTATTGAATAATTGACTTCGATGAAGTTCACAACGTTTATGATCGCAACGATTGAACGAAAAAAAAATATTTTTCTTGACAAAAATATCAAAATGTTTTTTTCTTTTTCCAATTATTGATCAAAAAATTATGCAAAACATTTTCTGTAGAAAAATAAACAAAAATTTATAAATAGAAAAATATTTCTTCTTCTAAATCGTTGATTTATCAACGTTGTGAACTTCATCAACGTAATAATTAAATGTTATTTAAAAATAAATTCTTAAGAATTTTATTATTTATGAAAATAATTAAATGTTTGGCCGGTAGAAATTTAAATCAAAAATTTTTTCTAAATAAATTAATTATTTGGCAAATTTTATTGAAATAGATATGAAAAATCATAGAATAAAGAAATTTTTTGAAAATAATAATTAAATTTTGTCCAAGGATTTTATTAAAATTTCTGAAAATAATTTAATTTTGGGGAAAAATTTTGATATTTAGAGATAATTGACTTCTTTCGAAGAATTGAATTAAAATTTTTTGAAATAATATCAAATATATGTATTAAAAGATTCAAGTAATTTTAATTGTTAGTTAAAATAAAAAGATGAAACATTCAAATTTTCAAAGATTTTAATTTAAAACATTTTTAAAATTCAATTATTTCAAAAATGTCTTCAAAAATTTTTATAAGTTTTTATGAATAATTAAATTTTTTTGACAAGTTTCTTTAAATTTTTTTAAAATAACGTTTTTTTAATAATTTCAATTAAAAAATTTGGAAAATAATTGAATTAAACAAAGAATTTTTTCAATTCTTTGAAATAATCTTGTCTGTTCATAATTATAATTGGCAATTTGATTAATTTAATTTTACTAAAATGTATTTACTAATGTATTTACTAATGTAATTTTACTAATTGAATTTCTGCAAAGAATTTTACTATTTATAAAAGTAATTGAATTCTTCAAAGGAATGTTATTATTTATGAAAATAATTAAATGTTTGCGTAGAATTTTATTAAAATATTTGAAAATAATTGAATTGTGGAGAAGAATTTAATTATTCATAAAGATAATTGAAATTTTGAGGAGAATTTAACACAAATTTTAAACATAATTGAATTTCTGCAAAGAATTTTTTTACTATTAAAAATAATTGAATTGTTTTTTAGAATTTTATAGAAATTTATGAAAATAATTGATTTCTTGTGAGGAATTTTTTTAAAAATAATATTCAAAAGAATTTAGTATCTAAATCTGAAGAATTTTGCTATTTATGGAAATAATTGAATTCTTGAGAAGAAATATTTTTACAGTTTCTAGAAATAATTGAATTCTTTCGACAAATTTTAATAAAATTTTTAAGAATAATTAAATTTTTCGAGGAATTCGATTAAAATTGCATTAAAAATAATTGAAATTCTGCGATGAGTTTTATTATTAATAAAAATAATTGAATTTCTGTGAAATTTTTATTATTTATAAATATAATTAAATATTTGCATAGAATTGTATAAAAAATTATTAAACTAATTGATTTTGTTTTAAAAATTTTATGAAAATTGTATATAAATTAATTGAATTCTAGAGAAGAATATTATTAAAATTTTTAAAAATAATTGAATTCCTCTATAAAACATTATTAAAATTTTTTAAAAAAATAATTGAATTCTTATAAAGAATAAATTCTTATAAAATTATTGAAATTAATTGAATTTTTGCAAATTTTTAAAATGAATCTATTTGAAATTGTATTCAAAAATAAAATTAAACCACTAAATTCATCTCAAAAATTTTATTATTTATTTATAGAAAGAATTGAATTTCTGTGAAGAATTTTATTAAAACTTTTAAAATTAATTGAATTCTCGTAAAGAATTTTATTAAAATTAAAAAATTAATTAAATTGTTGCACAAAACTTTATTGTGTTTATAAAAATAATTGAATTCTCGACAATTTTTGTGATGGATTTAATTAAAATTATATTTCAAATAATTAAATCCTTGTAAAAATTTTTATTATTTATGATAATAATTGAAAATTATTATTGCGAAGAAATTTATAAAATAATTTCAAAGAAGAATTTTATTATTTGTAAAGATAATTGATATTTTGACGAGATTTTTAAAAAATTTTTAAACATAATTGAATTTTTGCAAAGAATTTTATTACTTTTGAAAATAATTGAATTTCTGCATTCATTTGTAACTTCTCCAAAATTCTATGTTTTTTAAGTTCATCTAGTTCTGAAACTTATAGACGTAACTCTTTTAAAATACAATTAGTTTTGAAATATTCAAGTAAATTTATTCATTAAATAATTATATATAATAATCGTCGTGATTCCAGATTTCCGGATCTCTGTCCACACTTGAAGTTAGTTATAGTTATTCTTTTGTTTTTTATACGTTTTGATAGAAAATAGAAATATACATATACATATACATACATTATAATAATCGTAAGTTTCCTTTCCGTTAGCAAATTATCTGCATTCATTTGTTTGTTTTGAAAATTTAATTTTGTGGGTTAAGTATTGGCATTTTTTATATATTTTTTAATGTCAAACTTTTTAATGTGGAAAATACTTTACTTATTAAATTGTCTCGACTCTTTGGTAAAAAATCTAAAATTATCGGAAATTATCAAAAATTCAAAAATCCGAATTTCTTAAAATTCAACATTTTTTCTTCTCTTTTATGGGATTTAGCTTCATTATTTTTGTGCTTTTGGAAAATACTTTACTTATTTAATACTCTCGACTCTTTGGTAAAAAATCTAAAATTATCAAAAATTATCAAAAATTCAAAAATCCGAATTTTTTAAAATTCAACATTTTTTCCTCTCTTTTATGAGAATTAGCTTCATTATTTTTGTGCTTTTGGAAAATACTTTACTTATTAAATTGTCTCGACTCTTTAGTAAAAAATCTAAAATTATCAAAAATTCGAAAAAATTCAAAAATCCGAATTTCTTAAAATTCAACATTTTTTCCTCTCTTTTATGGGAATTAGCTTCATTATTTTTGTGCTTTTGGAAAATACTTTACTTATTAAATTGTCTCGACTCTTTGGAAAAAAATAAAAAATTATTAAAAATTATCAAAAATTTGAAAAATTGAATTTCTTAAAATTCAACATTTTTTTTCTCTTTTATACCATTTAGCTTTATTATTATTTGAATTTCTATTCAAGAGAAAAAATGGAAAACTGAAAAATTTAGAAACTTTTAAAAATTTCAGGCCTTTTCCATGATTTCCCTGATTTCTAGAAGCCTTTTAAAAATTCCATACCATTTCCATGATTTCCATGATTTTCAGATTCTGTAGGAACCCTGAACTTTTGTCTGACTTTCTTCTAAATTATCGAATTCAGTGATTTCTGTGGTGAATTTGGTTAAGTTTTAAAATGATTAATTTCTATTTGAATTCGTTTTTTTTTAATTTAGAAAATCTGATGTTAATTTAATTCTTTTTTCGTTATGCAAGGCAAAAAATATTTAGCTGGATAAACTACAGATTTTACTTTAGTAGCGAAATTTTTCAGTGCTTCAATTAATACTTTCGTTATTCTAGAGAAACTTATCGCTATTTCAAGTAAAACTTTTTTCAGTGTGTAATAATTATTATTTCTTAAAAATGTATTTAATTTAAAATGGCTTTATAAAATAAGCAATGCAAAAGATGACCCAGATACTAATTGTAATTGTTCTAGCCATAGTTTAAGTCTAGTAATGTAAATTCTATTTAAATTGAGACCATTGAGTGAAATTATTTAAATTTTAGTTTGTTAAATCTCTTTGTTAGGTTATAATAATTATTTCTTTAAAATTTTTTAAATTGTTTAAAATAAGCAGCCCCATACAATATTCCCGCGCGCTTGCGCGCGGATAGTTTGGCTAGTTTATAAATTAATTAAGTTTA